CCTACCTTTTTCAATTCTGGGTAAATCAGAAGAGAGGGAGATGGTGCTGGCAGAGAAAGAGGTAGAATCTTGCCATACCTGCTCCATTGTGGACCTTCTCACAAGGCGGGTTTTCTATCCATAGTCTCATAGGCCTGGGCCAGAGTAAAGGGGAAAGCCTCAACTTTAAATCAGTTTCCGTTATAGTTATTATCAGATTGAGACTGCGAAAATTAAGATAAAAAAGTTATGGGATTTACTTTAGGGATAGGAGTACACTAACCTTCAGAATGGGTTTTAAAAGAAAGTAGGAGACAAAGATAATGTTGCTTTATGAGTACATCCTGAGTTGGTGTATTCAGTAAAGGTTACATTCAAGTGTGAGGATATTTGGTAGGTTAGAAAGCTTATAAATTATTCTCTCTTATTCTGTGATAGCTACAATTTAGTATAAATCTGAAACATTTTCTTAAATTGTTCCTTTCAGTGGTTATAATAGTCAGTATTTGCAAATACGATTCAATTAATTAGAAATAAAACAAAATCCATACACTATTAATAAGTAGCATGTTTTCTTCTGACTTCGATTTTAAAGTAACTCTCTACTTCTTTCCTTCCATTTCATTAATGAGCTTTTAATGAGAAACTAAGTAATTTGAATGTGCTATCATTTATTAGGGTTGCAGATTTCTTGGAGATATTTCTAATAGTGGAATTCAGAAATCTAAAAAGTATGTTGAGATTTTGATTTATTCAATCTTATCAGTGTTAATAAACAACTTCCTGTTCTTTTGGAGCTACTGAAGAGATTTCCAAGAATTGACTCCTTCTTCCATCTAAGTAGGAGGAGGAATCTGCTCTTAGAATCATAGCACATGAGTCATATTCTTCTATGAAAGAAGATAAGTGAAGCCTGTTGTCCAGAACTGAGCACTGAGTGCTGGTGTAGGCTTGTGGGAATGTTCAGAGCTTAAAGGAAGTTACCATTCTGAACAAGGAAATTTAAGTGCCATAGCTATGAGCACAGTGAAAGTAAGCTTTGCCAGAAAGAGAATTCCTAATCTTTCCTAGTATTAAAGCATTTCCTTAAAAGTGAAGAAATACTACAGTTGTATGATGAAAATCAGCTCTGTCCTGTACTACTCTCCACTCAGGTGTTGTTCCTGCTGTTTTCTCTTTTATCCTTTTCTGGAAATTCTGTTAATTGGCTAAGATTTATCCTACATTGAGCCCATAACTTTTTTATCGGTCTGTTTTTCTCTTCTTTTTCTCTTTCTGAAATTTCTCAATTTACCTTCCAAGACTTCTATTGCATTTTCTTGTTACATATTTTTGATATCTAGGAGCTTGTTTTTAATGAATACTTCTTTGTACTATGACAGTCTTTTTTTTTAAAATATATTTTTATTGACTTCAGAGAGGAAGGGAGAGAGAGAGAGATGGAAACATCAGTGACAGGAGAGGATCATTGAGGTACTGGGGATCAAACCCTTGACTGGAATCGAACCTGGGACCCTTCAGTCTCCCAGGCCAATGCTCTATGCACTGAGCCAAACCGGCTAGGGCAGTGGTTGGCAAACTGTGGCCCCTTGAGTGTGGCTCTTCCACAAAATACCACGTGCGAGCGCGCACGTACAGTGCGATTGAAACTTCATGGCCAACTCAAGGGGAGCCTGGCAGCCCTCCAGGGATGTCCACTTACCAGCAGGGAGCAGACCTAAGCTGCAGTTGGACATCCTTAGTACTGCTGAGGAGGCGAGAGAGACTCCCGCCACCACCGCTGTGCTGGCGGCCATCAGCCTGGCTTGTGGCTGAGCAGAGCTTCCCCTGTGGGGGCGCACTGACCACCAGGGGACAGCTCCTGCATTGAGCATCTGCTCCCTGGTGGTCAGTGTGTGTCATAGTGACCAGTCATTCCCAGTCGTTCTGCTGTTAGGGTCAATTTGCATATTACCCTTTTATTATATAGGATGTGTTATCTCTTTGAAGCTTTCTTTTGTTCCATTTCCTCTGTAATCTTTTTTTCTGTTTGTTTTGGTCTTTGTCTTTCACGAGATATCAATGTTTCTCAAACCTGGATTGGAAACACCTGGTTATTTTTTTTTAATTATGAATACTGATGCTAGGTCCCAGCTGAGGCTAATTAAGTTATATGTTTTTACGTAAATACCTGTAGTTCTTGGCAGATCATTTGTTTTACAGTGAGTTATTAAGTTGGTGACTTAAACTCTCCGCCGGCTGAGAGCTTGACATGCTTGCTTTAGGGCTTAGCAGTTGGTGTGAACACAGTAAGTGTTCAAGTGGGACTGGCTACTTTAAGTGTATTTGTAGGTCTTTTTACTTAGAGCAGATTGTAAAATATGTACGATACACATTTCCTTTACATAAAACATCTGTGTATATCCATGTGCATGGCATAAGTCTGGTCATTTTCCCTAAACGGGAGTCTTTCTGTCCCTTCTGTGACTAGAACTGGGTGGCAGCAAACATGGTAGCAGTGTTTAGAGATCTAGAGAGATCATCTTTTGAGGTGCAGATTTTTATTTTAATCCCCTCACATGCCCTGGGCTGTTTAGGAGTCTGTTCAGCCTCTCCAGAGCAAACTTCAGCCTTCCTCCTGGGCGGGGACCTGTAGTGGCCTGGCTGAAACCATGCTGCCTCATAGCTCTGTTTTCTCTCTAATACAGTGTTGGCCTGTCTCACTTGGTGGCCTCTCTTCTGGGGTTTTTATTGTTACGGGTTTTCCTCTTTTTTTTTTTATGCCTTTATGAATGTTTTTCACATTATATGAATATCAGTTCTTGAAAGGCTAAAATTAATACTTTGTGGGAGAAAATACCACATGTTTTATAGCAAGTAGGTTCATAATAAACATTTAGTTTTGTGTAAAAATTTGCCATTTTTGTATTCTTCTAACAGTAATATGAATGGAACACAAACAAAAATCCCAGAGCATTGTTTTGCTTTTCATTGGCAAGAAGGAAGATAATTTGATTAAATGATACTTTTGGGGGTGGGAGGGCGCTCTGGGACTTTTAGATACCTTTTTAAAAAAATTCTCACCTGAGGATATGTTTTTATTGCTTTGGAAGGGGACGTGGGGCACAACCTGGGTATGTGCCCTGACCAGGAATTGAACCTTTTGGTGTACGGGATAATGCTCCAACCTACTGAGCCACATTGTCCAGGGCTTTGTATGGTCTTGAGTGGGAGGAACCATGTAATTAACCATGGCAGCAAAGATGGTAACCATTAAAGAAAAGACTGATAGGTTTGACTCTTTACAATAAAAACATACACTAATAGGAGCAAAATGTTATTTACACATTGTGTACCGCATAGAAATCTCTAAGACATACGCCAGGGACCGCATGTTTTTGGGCAAACTGCATGTTATTTAAATCGTGCAGTTTGCACTACGTTCCTAGTACTTTTTTAACGTATGGTACTGCGTAAAACATTTTCCTCTATGAAGAGGGACCAAACAAAATTTACATAAGTATCTAGATTCGCTCCTTTTTCCATGGGCGTGAAAAACGAGAACACTCGTGAGCAGTCCTTAACAGATGGCACGCGAAACACGAGAAAATTCCTGAGCAGTACGAAATGTGTTAAAATAGTCAGACAGGTGACACATTTGGAAATACATTCAAATGGCAAACTAGATTAATATCTTAATCAAACAATAGAAGACTACATATTCAAGTAGATGAATGGGCAGAAAGCATGAATAAGAATTTCAACAAATAATTGCAAATTTTTATATACTTATTGGTAATGTCAATGCTACTGGTTATCAACAAAATAGAATTAAAAAAAAACTTAGAAAATATTCTTTGCTCTTATCTTTCTTAAATTACTTTCACTTTGGCAAGTCAGTGGGAAAATGGGCACTCTGTATACTGGGTGTTTTGTTTTTGCAGGGCAATCGGGTAGTGTATGTCAAAAGTCTTAAAAAATGTTTCTTGTAGCTCTGTAATCCCACTTTTAGGAATTGAGTCTAAGAAAATATTAGGAAATGTGCACCAAGTATCTCATAAATATGCAAAGCTTTTTATAATTATGAACTATTTAAAAACAGCCAAATGCTAATATTATGTCATATACATTCAGTGTAATATACCATACTGCAACAACAACAGAAGGTATATATTTTTATTAGTGAGGAGAGATATATGAGTAATATGTATTAAATAACAGGAGCTGATTATAAAATACTAGTGGCCTGGTGCACGAAATTCATGCACATTAACAGGGAATTAATTAGAGGAAATATTTTAATATTGCTATTTGCCCTTAATAATAGAAATGTCAGAGATGAAAGAAAATTAGTAAAATGTATATGAAAATATTCCTCCTATCAGTCTGGGGTGTGCCACGGGACTCTGAGTCAAGTCCCCACCCACCCACTGTGTGCCTCTAAATCATGCGAGACCCAGACCTGGCTGGTCCCACCCCCATTAGGCGAGATCCAGACCCGGTCGGCCCCACCCGCATCAAGCCCCACTGGGCGGGGGCACAGCCTCAGGTCCCCTGGCCCAGTGCCGGGCGGGGGGACACAGCCTCAGGTCCCCCAGCGCACCCTCAGGTCCCCTGGCCCAGCACCACACAGCCTCAGGTCCCTGCTGATCACTCGCTCATTACGGCTCGTTATGGGAACCCTGCCTCCACTGTGGGTGCAGCCATCTTGTGATGGTGTGAGGGTTAATTTGCATATCACCTCTTTATTATATAGGATTATGTACACTAAACATTTCCTTTACATAAAACATCCATGTATATTCATATGCATGGTATAAATCTGAAAAGGTAACAATATAGATAACTAACTTTTGTTGAGCACTTACTAGCTTTCAAATACAATGCTAAGGCTTTATATATAGTACTTCATTTAATGGAACCAAGACATTAGCTGTGCTACTTTTGGGTGATAAAATTATAAGAGATTGGGATTTTTTTTCCTTTTTACTTCTCTATATTTCCTAAATTTTCTATAATGATTATGCATAATCCTCTTTGAGAATTCCTTGCCTCAGCTTTTCAGTTTTAACTTTAATTATTGAGTCATTTGAGAAGGCTTTTATTATGGTCCTGTAAAAGCAATTAAAGATCAAAAACTTAAGAATAAATGTTGTCACAGCATGATCTTGGACAGGTAACTATCCCTCTTGGATTTATATTTCCCCCTGCAGACCAGGAGAGTTAAATATTGAGCACCTTTGTAAAAGGAGCTATATGTATAATAGCAGTAACTGAATTATACTATTGAATTAGACATTTTAGAAACTTTCTCCATATTACACATGCCATCTGGAATGGGATGAAGACCAGTGAATATTTGTGCTGCTTTTTTCAAATCCTAGGGAATTGCTGCTCAAACTCCATGGACCATGTGAATATGTATTTACGGTCAGATGAAGTTAAAATTGGTCTAAGTCAAGCATGTCAAACTCGCACCTGCGTGCCACATACCTTATTTGGCACATGTTAGCCTTTGAGTTTGAGTTTGACATGCTTGGTCTAAGTGATCTTAATTAGACTTCTTCAAAAGCTGTGTCATCGTCCTTATGGACAGGGGGTTTTGTTTTTACTTTGTGGACACCAAATCTCAAAATTAAATGCCTTCTCCCCCTATAGGTCAGTTGGTGGTGTGTACTTTATGCTCCTGTGTCATGAAAACGAAGCAGATTTGGCTCTTTTCCGCCCACATGCTTCCTCTGCTAGCACGACTCTGCCTGGTTCCTCTGGAGACCATTGTTATCATCAACAAATTCGCTATGATTTTTACTGGATTAGAAGTTCTCTATTTTCTTGGGTCTAATCTTTTGGTACCTTATAACCTTGCTAAGTCTGCATACAGAGAATTGGTTCAGGTAAGACTGACAACCACACAGGTAGATAAAACTCTACATAAGTATTGTATATATTAAAGGTTTAGTTCACTTTTTTTTCACAGTCCTGATCATGGTAACCTGTTTGATGGTTTCAAGATAGCAACTATTTTCAACCCAATTAGGAACATCTGAGATTCTTTGTTGGGATGTGTCATTGAAAGGCAGTAAAGGGGAGTGATTTCTCTGGGTTTTTTACTCTGGTGCTGCTATTGACTAGCTGTGTAACCTGGGGATAGCCACTTTGCTTATCTGTAAAATGGAGCTGATAATAGCAGTTGTACTTAATTCAGAGGATTACCATGAGATTCAAATGAGTTCAGTGCCAGGCAGGTGATGTTTAGTATGTATTAATTGTTGTAATGAAGACAGTTAATACATACTGGAGGTCAGATCCTGTTTTTCCCCCTGATTATAGTCCTACTGTAACTGCAGTTTTCCCTCTATGTTTGCCTAATTTGCTTAAATTGAGAAGTTAAATAGTTTTGGACCGTAACATGATGATGGATTTCTTTTAGTACATGAACTGACTTGCTAATATAACATGCTCTGTCTCCTACTTTCTTCAGACTTTGCTCTAAAACATTATTCCTAGATACAAACAGTAGATATGCAGGAGATAAATACTTCTATTTGATATCATTGAGAAATTGCAGTATCTATATATATAAAAGCCTAAGCGACTGTCTGACCATTCAACCAGTACCTATGATGTGCAGTGACCAACAGAGGGCAGACACTCTGACTAGTAGCTATGATGTGCACTGACCACGAGGGGGCAGACGCTCAACGCAGGAGCTGCCGAGCTGTGGTGACTTGGCAGCTCCGGTTCTCCGGTGACACACCCGGAACCAGAGAGGAGGGAGCCTGATTCTGGGGTGCATCACCCCAGACCCACCCTCTTACAATCCGGGACCCCCTCGGGAGATGTCGGAGAGCTGGTTTCGGCCCCATCCCCGCAAGCCAGGCCGAGGAACCCCACGGGTGCACGAACCTGTGCACTGGGCCTCTAGTCTATGTATATAAAAAATAGAGCTTAAAACTGACCTTGGTATAAAAAGAGAGTGTTGAAATGGGCATTCTCTTCTCTTGACTGTGTGTATATGACCTTAAGGTACAGGAAGCTCTCAGATTATCCAAACATACTAAGTGAAGCAGGCTTTTGTGTTGTTGTGGCCCAGGGGCAGATTTCCCAGAGAAAAATTTTCCAAGCTCTTGACTTTAGACCGAACTTCCTTCTTTCTTCATCTTACACAATGTTGGGTGATTCCTGAAAGTAGATCTTCCAGAGATGAGGTTATTTTCGGCCTCTCCATGAAAAGTTGCTTCAAGGGGAAGGGTTGCCGTTGTCTTCAGAGAGAGAATGACCAATTTAATTTTATATTTTCTTTGAATTCAGTCGCATGGAGCTGTCTTATTTTGTAAGAAACAGTAGATATTGAGTAAGTATTAATGGACACTTTAATCTCCATAAGGACAAAGTCTTCATTTTCAGTGTCATGTTTCAATGACATTTTCAGTGTCAAGGAGTTGTTGCCATAAGATTCATGCATCACTTAGTGTGGCAGTTGAAAACACATTATAAGTATGGAGTTCATGACCTGGAAGGAATTTTTTTAAAGGTTTTTTAAAAAATATGTTTTTATTGATTTTTAGAGAGAGAGGAAGGGAGAGGGATAGAGTGAGAGACATCAGTGAGAGAGAAACATCATTGATCAACTGCCTCCTGTACAGCCCCCTGCTGGAGATTGAGCCTGGACCTCTTGGTTCATGGGTCAAAGCTCAACCACTGAACTACACCAGCTGGGCTGACCTAGAAAGAATTTGATGGGCAAGAAGTGAAAACTGGCAGGTTTTTTAGTGATCTATTCCTTGAATGGAAAGGAGAAAGATTACCTCTCTCAGTGATCAGTTTGCTGCTAATAATAATTTTACAGCTAGTTGAGCAATTTCCTCCTCCCGCTCCCTCCCTCCAATATTTTCAAATTGGGGAAAGAGAGGTTAATTTTTTACTAGTTTTTAGAAAAAGCATTTGATTTACTGGTACAGATGAAAAAAAATTTTAATTTTAGAATACCCTGCAAGTGAGTGTATTTTAACTTAATACTTAAAGATCTTTACCTACCTAGAGAGATACTAATTAGAAATCAGAACAACTTGCAACCACATGTATTTTAAGATCTTTATAATTTATTGAAGAATCACATTGGACTTAGGTTAGAGCATGTAGCCTGCCTGGTGTTTTTTTTTTGTTGTTTTTGTTTTTTTTTTTTTGGTATACCTTGTTTCTTGATGTTAATGTACTTGACAAACCAAATTGAGAAATGTTGCTTGATAAATACACAGTAGGAGCAAAGGAAAAAACTTGCTGATTTCCTGGGGGGACAAACTCACGAATTACCTTTGCTTCACGATAAAGTAAACCTCTCCACTGATTATTCTGTCTTCCATCGAACTATTTCTCATTGTTGACATTCCTGAATAAAACCTGAAAAATGCTTCCTTGTATATTTCATTTTTCCGTAGTCCTTCAAGCAATATTGCATTAATCTTGCTAGTCCTGATCATTTTGATTGGATAAAAGTAAGTTTAGCAAGTCTCCTGGTATTGCCCTTGATGTAGTTTCACTCTGCACATAACTTTATCCCTGAACTATCAGGGCAATTTACTTTTCTATTTGATAAGTGTGTGTTAAGTGTTAATAATGCAGAAATCAACAAATTTTTTAAAACATGCTATTGGCTAACTGTATGTGTAGAGTAACTTTAAAGGAATTTATTTGAAACAATCTTGCAATAAAAGTGATTCAATTTTTATCTGTAGTACTTTAGAATAAACTCTTACATTTAAAACTAGAGGCCTGGTGCATGGATTAATACACCAGTGGGGTCCCTCGGCCTGGCACAGTTAGGGCCGGGGAGGGGTCGTGGGAGGACTCCAGGACATGTCTGGCTCATCTCGCCCAGTTCGGGTCAGCTGGACCCCAGCAGCAAGCTAACCTACCCGTCAGAACGTCTGCCCCATGGTGGTCAGTGTGTGTCATAGCGACTGGTCAAATGGTCGGACACTCAGCATATTAGGCTTTTATTATATAGGATTGTGTATTGATGTGTGATACAAGATGAGATGTTTTCCTATTTATTTTCTTTTTCAGGTTGTGGAGGTATATGGCCTTCTAGCCTTGGGAATGTCCCTGTGGAATCAACTGGTGGTCCCTGTACTTTTCATGGTTTTCTGGCTCGTCTTGTTTGCTCTTCAGATTTACTCCTACTTTAGTACTCGAGATCAGCCTGCGTCGCGGGAAAGGCTGCTTTTCCTTTTCTTGACAAGGTAACTAATATGAGCGTCTGATACTGCCCATACCTTAGGAAGAGAACACTGAGCTAGGAGCAGTAAGTTTTGCAAATTAACTTTTATCATTCATATTATAGTACTTCATAATTTTTTTTAAAAAATATATTTTATTGATTTTTCACAGAGAGGAAGGGAGAGAGATAGAGAGTCAGAAACATCGATGAGCGAGAAACATCGATCAGCTGCCTCCTGCACATCCCCCACTGGGGATGTGCCCGCAACCCAGGTACATGCCCTTGACCGGAATCGAACCTGGAACCCTTCAGTCCACAGGCCGATGCTCCATCCACTGAGCCAAACCGGTTTCGGCTAGTACTTCATATTTAATTAAGATAGGATTTTCATTCAGTGGCTGTCCCAGTCTGGTGATGCTGGTGCCTTTGTTATTATTACCATTTTATAGCTGAGGACACTGTACCAAGTCACCCAGGTGGTACTGCGGAAAGAAGCAGTGCTGACGCTGAAACCCCATCTGACTTCAAACCCTGTGGCTTACCTATGTGCTTTCACTATGCCCCATTATCATCATCATCATCATTATTATTATTATCATTTTAAATATATTTGTATTGATTTTAGAGAGGTAGGGAGAGGGAGAGAGAGATAGAAACATCAATGATGAGAGAGAATCATTGATCCGCTGCCTCCTGCCCGCCCCCTACTGGGGATCGAGCCTGCAACCCAGGCATGTGTCCTGACTGGGAATCGAACCTGGGACCCTTCAGTCCACAGGCTGATGCTCTATCCGCTGATCCAAACCAGCTAGAGCCCTATGCCTCATTATTTTTAATGTTTTGCTTCATTATTGAGATAGAGTCAAATAGTTAGTGAAATGGGTATATTACAGTACTTTACTACTAAACCCCAAGGAATACTGAGACTTGGTTTTTAAGGTTTAGTATGAAAAAAGTCCTTAGAGTCTTTTCTCACTTCATATAGTCTTTGCTGTGCGCTTATGCTAGATCCACATTTGCCATTTTTCCACTTGGAGTTGGAATCTCGAGCCCTCAGAATCTAGCACGTGGGTACACATCTTTGTTCCCTGGCTCACTGTCGCCTTACAAGGCAAGAATGAAACTGTCCTTCTGGAAAGTAAATACAGGTGGATAAAAGTCTTGAGTTTTAGTTGATAGAACCATTGTTTCCTAGCCATCCAAAATGATGGAACATTATGTACTAAGTGGTACAAGGAATGAGAAGTTTAAGACAAATTTACGGTCCTTAAGGAGCATGTTACTTGTTAAGATCGAACTTGTTACACAAAGTTAAGTATTAATAAAAATGTCATAGGGCAGTACCTACGTTAACAAAAAAGTAAAGTAAACTTACTGGTACTAAGTCAGATTTTGTGCTTTCTGAAAATAACACTTTTAATTGATAAGAGGCTTCTATAAACATGCAATAAATTGGTATCAAACATTTTAATGGCCCATTATTAACTAAGTTTTACTGCTGTTTTCTTCAGTGTAAATAATGGAGATTTTATGCAGAATTTTAAAATAATGTAAAAAGTAACTGAATTTAATGAGAGAGATAAAAATCCTGTGGTTAGAATAATAACCTAAATATGACTGTGTTTTAAACTAGATTGCTGTTCATTGTAAAGCACAATCAAATGTAGTATAGCATAGTGTAATAAATAGGCTCAACAATCACTAAGCTGTGAATGAGTTTGGACTTAATTACAAAGTCAGAAAATAACACTGAGATTTTAGACGAGGTTTAGATATATTGCCAAACTAATTTTTCTCTCTGTTCTTTTTTTTATACATAGGATAGATTGATCCTCAAAATAAGAATGCTTTAATTTGGTTTTTAATAGAGAAGTTCCCATATGGTTATTTGCTTAACTTATATCACTGCAAGCATTATTTTTTGGCCTTCTTGATGCTATTGTGTGCCAAATTATATTTGTGTGTTGCCATGCCAAAAAACCCCACAAAACTTATTTACAAAAAGGAGGGTTGCAACTTTATCAGAACACCTGGACTAAACAAACCAACCAAAAAGCATACACAAACTGAAAAATAAACAGAGGCTTCTTTTGGAGCTAGAAAAATAGAAACTAAAATTAATAAAATGTCTCATTGAAGAGAGGGGAAGAAAAAATTTTATAAATTTCCCAAACTCTTTCACTTCCCCAAAGCAAGGTTGAAACCTCTTGTTTTCTTTTGAAAGATAGCACCACATTCTTTTCTAAAGTAAGGGAAGACGAACGTGCTCCTGAAAATGTAATTAGATCACCCTGCTTTGGGTGTAAAAGATTACTCTAAATGTAGATATAGGAATAATATGGACCTTCATTAAAATTTTCAGATTTTCTAGTGAGAATAAGATAAAATTTTTAGTGTTATTTTCAGCCATGATTTTCCTATGTTTTAAATTACTGGACAATTTGTTTAAACGTGTTATATAATAATTTCTCTAAGAAAAATGTCAAACATTTCAGAAATTAGATTTGTAAGAATGCCATATAACATTTATTCTTTTAGCTATCAGCCACTAGAATTGATAGGTATTTTTATTCCTAACATAAAACCAGACATTTTTTTCTGATTAGAAGGTACATTGGTCTGCATAAAATTAGATATTTTCGTATAAAAACGAGCTAGTGAGCAGTACTGTAGGAAGGATACCTATGTAGCAGAAGCATGGAGCTACCTAATAAAGGACAGATGTGATTCTCCTGGATAAACTCCTCATGTATCCAAATGAAATGCAAACCTGAAGATACAGGGCTTTAAACATTTCTCAGATGCTGTGTAAATGCTAAATCCAAATTATTGGTACATAATAGATATATTTCAAAATACTTATAAGTTAATACCTAATATGTTCAGTGAAAGCAGTGAGTGTATTTCCATAAAATATGAAAGTGTTTCCAAGCTTTACTGTAAGGTTTTTCAGTTTTCCTTGTAAGTGATATTCATAGCAAACTGTAATGTTAAATATCAATATTAAAAGTATATTAAATGGTCTTGAGCTATATTCTTGGACTTGCTTTAAAAATAACCCAAAATAAAATGAATTGATCTAAACCTAAATTAAATTAAACTAGGCCTAAATAAGTTTATTTTAAAGCACCGACAGTATGGAAGACGTTGAAGTGAGGTGAGGGACGTCAAAGCCAACGTAGACCCTGCCCCGTAGCAGTTTGGCCAAATAAGGAGTTTTGACTAGTAATCACAGTCACGGTACAGTCAGAATAATTTGAACAGCCAACATTTTTCAGAAGGAACAGTGGACAACTATACATGTTTCTTTTGAATATCACCAATATGTTAATGATGTGTTTCTTAAAGTTTGAACAAGCTGTAAGCCCTGGGAGTATTAAGGAGATGATGCGTTTGAAGGAGATCTTAGATAAATAAAAATTAAGACTCTGTTTCAGATATGGTGCTGTGTACTAAATATTTGCCAAATGGGTAAGAAAATGTAGATTAGGATAATAAGAATGGAGTTAAATTATATATAAGGTGTTTAGGAGATGACATCTGACATTTTAGTTTCGAGTGTTTTAATTAATGAGGATTAGGTCAAGTTTGGTGGTTATTTAAAAGTTGAAGATGTTTTTATTCCAAATAGAAAATTTTTATCTGCCACTATTTCCCCTTTTCTTCTAGTATTGCTGAATGCTGCAGCACTCCTTATTCTCTTTTGGGTTTGGTCTTCACGGTTTCTTTTGTTGCCTTGGGTGTCCTGACACTCTGCAAGTTTTACTTGCAGGGTTATCGAGCTTTCATGAATGATCCTGCCATGAATCGGTAAGTTCTCTACTCTGAATATCTCTAGTCATTTAAATCTTACCTATAACTTGAAGAAGTAATGATACATTTTTGTTGTTGATGCATTATAGAGGAAATGGAATTTTGAGGTGTTTTTTTTTTAATGGTTGCAACATTTGGGTTAAAATACTATGAAAAAATAATTAAATTTCTATGTGTAAAGGGTGATTTTCATTCTATGTACATAATGCATATTGGACACCTTCCTTTTCTAAATTTGTTTCAGAGATTTTTTTAAAAAATATTTTATTGATTTTTTACAGAGAGGAAGGGAGAGGAATAGAGAGCCAGAAACATTGATGAGAGAGAAACATCGATCAGCTGCCTCCTGCACACCTCCCACTGGGGATATGCCCGCAACCAAGGTACATACCCTTGACTGGAATCGAACCTGGGATTCCATAGGATTTCAGTCTGCAGGCTGATGCTCTATGCACTGAGGCAAACCAGTCACGGCTTGTTTCAGAGATTTTTGTTAGCTTATTTTAAAATCAGATTCCTGTATTTGATACTTAAAGTTTTTTTTAATGTTTGAACATAATTTTGGTACTAATCAAAGTTTACATTAATGAGAATGCATAATAGTTAATCTAGTGGTTATTAAATTACTAAGATCACGTATTGGGAAACCCTGTTTCTAGAACTTGTCATGATGTCTATTTAAATATAGGAGTTTTGTGGTTTCATTTATATGTTTATATAACCTCTTCTTAAACTCTAAATTTTTATGGATTATTTTAGAATTAGTAGATAGTGAATACCTTGTAAATTGGGGGAAATTTTGGGGTGAGTGTATATTATGTTTTTATTACAGAAAATTTAAAAACCTGTGTTCCATAATCTTCCTGCCAGGTCCAGCCAACACCTTTGTGATGGGAAAAAAGGGGGGAGGACAAGAAAGAAAAATAACTCATGTGTAAATTGACAATTTATAATGTTCAAAAAGTACAAAATGGAAAGTGATACCTTCCTCTTCCTACTTTCCATTTCCTCTCTCCAAGCATAACAGCTATAGATGGTTACTTTAAAATTTCTTATTTAAAAATATTTCCCCTTCTACCCTTTTTAAAAAAATATATTTTTCAATTACAGTTGACATACAATATTATATTCATTTCAAGTGTACAACATAGTGATTAGACATTTATATGTGTTATGAAGCACCCCAATAAATCTAGTACCCATCTGACACCATACATAGTTATTATAATATTATTGACTATATTTCCTTTCCTGTACTTTACTTCCCCATGACAATTATAAGTTTAAATTTTATCTATAACTTGACTTATAGGGAAAAGTGCATATATATATGTATAATATATATATGTGTATATATATATTATATGTAATATATATATATTATATATGTATATATATATATATATATGTTCTTGGCTCATTTCTGCATGCTGTACACACTATTGTGCACCTTATTGTTTCACTTAATGTTTCAAGTAGTGTTGTTGTTGTTTTTATGTCAACACATGTAAATACATCTCATTCTTTTTGATGAAAGCATAGTATTCCAAATATGAGTTTATCCCACTGTCCTCATCCATAGGTGTACGATTTTTTTGCAGTCTCTTCCCACACCCCCATACCCCTTTCCCCCCGAGAATTGTCAGTCCACTCCCTTTCTATGCCCCTGTTCTATTATATTCACCGGTTTATTCTGTTCATCAGATTTTTTATTCACTTTATTTTTACATTCACTTGTTGATAAGATATGCATTTGTTGTTCTTTGCCTTTTTCTTCTTCTTCCTCTTAAAGGATACCTTTCAGCATTTCATATAATATTGGTTTGGTGGCGATGAACTCCTTTAGCTTTTTCTTATCTGTGAAGCTCTTTATATGACCTTCATTTCTGAATGATAGCCTTGCTGGGTAAAGTAATCTTGGTTGTAGGTTCTTGCTATTCATCACTTTGAATATTTCTTGCCACTCCCTTCTGGCCTGCATACTTTCTATTGAGAAATCAGCTGACAATCTTATGGGTACTCCCTTTTAGGTATCTGACTGTTTTCTCTTGCTGCTTTTAAGATTCTCTAAGTTCAACATTTAGTCAACTTAAAAGAAAAACCTATACTAC